CACCTGTTGCGAGACTCTTATTCGTTGATTTACATTTTAACCGTTTTCACATTTCTTTCTTCATACGTTGACACATCTGCCAATTTTATGTAATTGACTACGTGTTATATATATAAATATATATATAAAGTGAGTATTCGGTTGTTTCACAAAAAACGAGAAAGCAAGACGTAACCGCGAACAACGACATGGGTCAACTACCGTTTCATTGTTTACAACCACTAGCCATGCATTTTGGTGCGCCGGTTTTGGTTGCCGTCTTTTGGCTGACCATTTGGATGAACAGCTACAGGTAGGAAGGTAGGCGAACGCATGGACAGGACCTAAGTACGGGAGTAGTAGCGTAATTGGTAGCAAAAGGCTGATCGCGAATGATAAACCGCAAAAATATGTCAGCTTGAGGGATTAATTTGTAGAACAGACGGTGCATGCTGAGTAGCGTTCTCCTGTGTACGTAATAGAACACTGCTAAATACAGTCAGTCAGAGAGTCCAGGGGAATCTGAGATGATGAAACTGTCAGCGCAGAAATCACACCCACATTCAGAAGTGTGTGGTAAATTTACACCAGTGCGAACCAGGTTCATTAAAATTAAAGAACACTATGCTCAACCTCATGATACCAAGTGACTAAAAGCAGGGAGACAGCCTGGTTTCAGATGAAGAAGCATATCACATTAGATAAGGAAACCCTAGACGCGAATGCTCTGAGTAGAATAACATGCGAAGCGTGAAGATATTTAGGTTTCGGAAAATATGCGCGGGTAGAACAATGGCAGAACATTTACACACGAATATGTCTTTGTCAACAAGATGCCGTTAAAGGTAGAAATGACAGTAATTCAACTTTTCTCAAGCATTTATTGATCTACTCCGAACCACCTTACGAGTTGAAAAGTGGACGAATCCTCATCATAAATGCACATTGGTACTTTGGACATCCGTGAGGAGAAAAACGGATACCGATTATAAATAACGAAAAAATGACCCACGGCTGATGTTGCTGATATTATTACCCTGGCAAATAGGGACACTTACACGACGATGCCCTCGCGCTTCTTCTCTAGGAACGATATCGATCAGGAAGTCAAACTGATCCGTATCACCATCGCTGACGGCCATCGCAATGTCATTCCGTTGCAGTGTTCGACGACGGTTGCGCTCAGTGTGAATCCAAGCACGTAAAGTGAGCTCGCGAATAAATAATTCAGCAGCTTTCGCAAATAAAATGGGGGCCTCTGCACTAATCATCTGCGAGCAGCGAAAAATAAATTGCGGTAAGAAGTTAGCAAGTGAATACCTGGAAGTTTATTTCAAAAAGATTGTTCCGCATTAATAGCACGTCGTTACTCAGGTTTGATGATACATGCACAAAAGGATGCATTGCCAAATAAAACAAACCGGCCATCATCATCATTATACAACGTAATACAGTGAGGTGAAATTCCCTGATCGTTGCCATACTCATAATGCATACAAGGTAAGTGAGAATGCGTAAGGACAGGGATTGGGCCTATTTTGGGGGGCAGGGGAAAGAAGGCGAATCTCTATGGTCAAAAGACAGAGAGCACAATCCAATTGTGTATACTTATTATTTCAAAATTTATGGTCTGATAAGAAGTGACAGCAAGATCGCCACAGCTGCCGATTTGCTGCCATGACCTTTAGTGTCGCCAACCATGCGGTTATAGCCTTTTGGACCCCAAACGGGAAGAGGAGAGACACCTACTCTACCTAATCGCTCTATGCACTTATTCATGCCTCGTCTCCACGTCACCTGCTGGCCTGCAAGTGGCTTTCTTCAGCCAGCAACAACCACTGCAAATAAGACGCAATGAGGTAAGCAACCGGCGGACATACCCAAAACGTGTCCTAATCAACGGAGCCAACTGAGCTGGATTCGATGAGATAGAGTTCTTGTTCAGTGCATTCCCAAACACCCGACAACTTACGTCTGGGTTACTACCTCGTTCATTCCATCCCACTTGGGCCAGACTGATTAAGCATCGATTGTCGGAAACTGCTAAACGACTGATGTGTTCCACCCGCGAATTCAAGGTCTCACAAATGTGCGGTGGCTTAGTATATGCCACTTTTCGATTTCAGTGAAACGTCACGTCGTCGCCACAGGTGTTTTAGTTCTACATACGCTGCTCGAGCTTTGAAAACCGGTACGCACAGTTCGATTGAACAGCATAAGATAATTTGAGAATCAGCATTAGAATTTGCATTCAATTTGTTGTACTCTATCCGCACTTTGAGGATTTTAAGCTTATATATTGGTTAATAAAAGCGTGTTCGTTGTTCAACAAAGTCAAGTGTTCAAAACCGTCATAGTGCTGCTCAAGGAGAACTGTGCCATACGACATTCCCACCCATAAACCGAGTAATGAGCTTTTTGAACGCAAACGCTAACGCGTGCGTTCATGGGACCTCTGGCAGCCCTTTGCGTTTGATACCAATACAATGTGATTCACCAAAATGTTCAAATCATTTTTAAGGAACTTCTCCACCTCATCTCATCTCGATAGACGATGATTGCTATGGTAAAATTAGGCTGGATAACAAGCCCGAAACCTCACTTGCTGGCGAGATTCCCATAAATTGTAAATTGTACATCATAAAGATCCAGGGCCAGTTAGTTCCGAACGAAATGTATACCAGACAAAGTTGACTGGCCATCTCATCAGATATCCAAACTGATTGTGGTTTCGACTCAACTGGGATGACCTCTACCGTAATCTCACTGAAAGCGTTTGACTAGGTGATAAATTTTATAGCATTTTGTGCGTACTATTGGGCAGATGAGTGTTTCTGCAGGACGACTGAGATACGAGGACCAGGAACAAGTAACGAAAACCAAAGAGCACCAGCGGAGCAACGGGGGCGAAATCTCAGTAGTCGATTTTGTTGGAGACACGACCATAGTGGGTACACCACTAAAAATTTATAATCTGCAAGACAAGGGAGGTGAGTGCAATCGGGAGATAGTTCCTGGGGATGCACACTTCTATCTACCTTAAAATTGACTGCACAGTTGTTATCAATAAAATACATAAAAATGATTGCTAGTATTATCCGTAGGAAAATTCCTCAGCTCCCCTAACGCTGTGTAACGTGAAGCACAGCTTCATCACCAACGCACTTCCTCACCTATAGACTTCCGGTAGCAGCTTATCTAGGTCAAGAGCAGAGGAGGTACAATCACAAAAATTAAAAGTAAAAACGGGGCTTAGAAAGAGTATGTTACAATTAAAATAACCTGCGCTAGATTCCGAGGATAATGGTTGTTTACGCTAGAAACCCGGGGAGAATGCCGACTAGAACATGGTGCGTCCAAAGCAAATTTTAGGAACTTTCACGTCTCAGCAAGTTGTTCCTCACACATGCTTAGCGACGCAGTAGAATCGTTTGGAATAAGAATGCCCTAAGTTCGATCCATTTTTAAATGACAGTGAAATAAGACCGGAAACGTTCCCCAGTGCATATGTCAAACAGTAGAGCAGTGAGTGTTACGGGAAAACAAGTTTACCTTGAGAAGAATCGAGCGAAGCAGAGAATTTGGGTCCTCAGGAGTTTGGAGAAAGTATATATGTGCTCTGATTTCGAGGATTTACGACAGCAACAGGACAGTATAAGAACAGACAATGAGGCAACCGCCATGAGCCCAATGTATGATTATAAAAATGTGACAAATTAAACTGATGGGCGATTCAGCTTTTGGGCAACACTGATCTGTATCAACTGCATCCAAAAAAATCCAGTGAACAACCAAATACACTTGACGAAATACGCTGACAAAGTAACTGAATAGAAAAGATTCACTGCTTCTCTTGTTCATCAAACAAGGACATTCGATAAGAAAATTCATATTTATCCGAGCGGAATACGGATTTTAAGGCCAGTAAAAAAATAAACTTACCATGCATTTAATATCATCATCAAGCTTCATTATTTTCTTTATACGAGCAAGGGGAAGATCCTGTGTTTTAAACGATGCGTGATCACATTTCAGGTTTTCCATTTCCAAGCGAACAGT